GAGAGACAGGAACTGCTGAGACCCTGAGCTGACCCTGTAAGTAGTTTTATGACTGCAGATGGCTGGGGAGACGAACCTTTAGTTTTCCCGGTGGAATGTAGAGATTCAATGTTTGTTTGTATCTGTTTATAGATTCAAGGGTTTCAATATCTTGAAGGCCGGGATCCTACACTACAAAAGGACTTTTTTATATTCATTACTGTTACTATCAAACACCTTTCTGAAGTTGACCGGCTCTGTATTGTGTAACAGTAAACTGTGTTAGCAGCTATGTTAGCTTAGCATGCTAACTAATGCTAATCCCATTTTAGCTGAGCACCGCCATACCTGTAAACCCTCCCGTTTTTCCCGGGATTCTCCCGTATTTTACCATTCTATCCCGCTATCATCCAGTTTAAATATTTTCCCGTATTTCTCCCATATTTTTTATCTTTCTATAAAAAAATCCCACTGGGCGTATTTTATATGTTTGCTACATTCACCTCCGGTAAAACTCTCGTAATTTGTATGGCCCAAACCGCATCATATGAATAATCACTTCCACAAATTCCAAGGTTGCCCAGTTGCCAGATCTTGTATGAAACGCATCCTTCTCACACAATTGACACATACAAATTTCAACCCATTTATCCTCTCAACTTGGCAACCTACAACAGTGATGAGTACCGGAATGAAAGGGAATGAAAGGATCACTGGTAGAAATGGGACGGGAGGAGAGAACTCAGGTGGTGCTCCGGTGAAAAAAAACAAATATACGTGCAAATTGAGATATAGCTTACACTTCAAAAGGCTATGGTTTAATTGATTAAATATGAGCGCTGCAAGTTGCAAAATCAGGTGCTGCGCTGCTTTGTTTACTGTGGTTACCGGGGAAATGGCTATATTCCTGGCGAAAAGCGAAAGAATGAAGAGAGAATGAATTTGCATTTTTCAATAAGCCCTTCTGCTTTTTGTTTTAGTCCAAAGCCTAAAACGACCCTTATTTTTATGCAGAAAACACGCAGTTTGATATACACGCTGTTTAAATAATTGTTTGATAATAATTGTTTAAATTAATATAATAATAATATAATAATTGATACTTTTACCCCCCCCCCCCGTATTTTGGGACCCAAATGTTGACAGGTATGGCACCGCTTAAGCACTCTTTGTTTTTCAACAGCAGAGCAACTGCATATTAAGTGCTTACCACAGGTCGAGAGAAATGGTCTTCAGCCAAGCCCAGATCCACTGCTCGTTCTGAACTTTGAGTTTTGGATTCTGAGGAAAAGATCTCCGACCTCACCTCTGTGGACACATGATATTGATTCAGATCACACACTGATCTTTCCTTGAGCAAGAACTCTTGTTTCTCAGTGGACATTACATCTCTACTAGCTACTAAGTCTATGTGACATGGTATGCCATCATGTAATCAATAACATAAGGAATGTACAAACAGTGGTTGTGTGTTTGAGTTGTACAACTTAATAAATAACTAACTCTAAAAAGTCTAGTTAATTGTAACATGTTTAATTTATTTTCATGCTAAATACACACATATTTTGTAATGAGGATCAGGCAGCAAAATTCACAAAGAAAAAATATTACACAAGCCAAAAAGTGGCAACAAGAATGTGGTGCGGTCTGTTAAAGAGTGATATATGAGAATGTAGAGAAAAGTGATATTTATTTGATATAGATTTGTAGGTCATTACTTAGTATGCACTAATACCATAGTAACCCAAAGTACTGTACTTTATATGTATAAAAGAGACCTTACTCGATGAAGAATTTTTACCTTTATCAGGAACTGTAGCATAAGTGTGTGAACTGCATGCAGTGTGTAATGTTTTATTCCTCCAAATAAATATTACAGGCTGAAAACTGAAAAACCACTAAAATGTCAACTGGTTCCACAAGATTGAAATCATCCTAATAAAGTGTGGTCGGCTAGAAGCTGGCATCTGCCTCAAAACATTAAGTCAGCAATAAATTAACAAATTAAACACAACAAGCTAGCAAAAAAACTATATATATATATATATATATATATGCATACAAGATTCTGTTTGGACTGACCTGCATAGATGTCACAGCACAGCATGTTGTCAAATACACCTGCTATAGAGAATGTCAAATGTGCCAACTGATGAGGGAGACTGAGTCTTTGTGTCTTTTTGTAAATGTGCATATTTGCTGTTCAGTCCAGGAAGTGATACAACAGTCTCATCTAGTTCCAGTTCACTGTTCTCTCTAACAGTCTCACATCCCTGTACACCTGATTGTCTCAAAGGCATACACATGCATCTTGTCATTCTTTTACATTTTCTGAATAAAATATGAGTGGTGCTGTATTATGCAACATGTTAGGGTATTATGGGTGGTTGTTTGCCACAACTTTGCTATGTAGTATCTAGTTTGCTATATAGTGGGTGATCTTAGTGCTTGCTAGGTGGTTGCATACTGACACTTCACTCGTAAAAGTAAAGGTTCCAAAAGGGTATTTTTGCAGTGATGCCACAGAAGAACAATTTTAGGTTCCAAAAAGAACATTTAAGTGAACAGTTCTTAAAAAAAACATATTTTCTTAGTGTGAAGAACATTTTAAGAACCTTTTGTTTAGCGGAAAGCTTACATGAATGTTAAAGGTTCTTCATGGGACCATCAATGCCAATAAAGAACCTTTATTTTTAAGAGCGTACTGAGTCTCTTGTGATATTCTGGTCTTTCTGTCTCAGGGGCCGTTCACACCCAGGATAATAACTACAACTATACAATCTTTCTAATTCTGTGAGAATTAGAATCCATGCGACAACTATAACAATAAAGACAAAGAAAGGATACCACTGAAATCACTTTCAGAAAAAAAAATTTGGAACTACTTTAGCCATGCATATATTTCCATTTTCAACTTTACATCATTTGATTTACAAATTATCTCATTCATAAGAAATATTTTTCCCTGTAAAAAAAAAAACATCTGTATTGGCCTGTCCTGTACCTTCAGGAGAGGATTAGTACATATTTATATATTTAATAAAAGTTGACACACCATGTTTTGGAGAATCCTTCCGCTCAGTGGTGCTGTCGATCTGTCTCCTGTCAAACGGGTTGACATGACCCTGACGAAAACGAGCAAGTCTTTCATTATATTCCATGACACCGATCACATCTGTAGAAGACAGACACATGATCAATATGTAATATAATACACCCAAAGGGATAGTTCAAACAAAAAAATGAAAATTCCGTCATCATTTCATGTCACCTTTTAATCCGTTTTTAGATTCTAGAACAGAACAAACTTTCAGCTCTTCTGGGAGTGCAATATCTATATGTATACTTAATTTGCTGTAAAGTTGCTTTGCAATGATTTGTATCGTGAAAAGCGCTGTACAAATAAACTTGAATTGAATTGAATGTAGGCTTTAAAAAGAAAAAAAAAACTTTGGTCACACTTTATATTAGGTGGCCTTAACTACTATGTACTTACATCAAAAAATAAGTACAATGTACTTATTGTGTTCATATTGTATTTCAAAACACTTTTGCTTCTATTGAGGTGGGATATGGGTATGGTTAGGGACAGGTTTGGTGGTATGGGTAGGTTTAAGGGTGGGTTAAGGTGTTAGGGATGGGTCAACAGTGTAATTATAAATGTAATTACAGAAATTAATTACTGATGTAACTACTAATAGGTATTTTTTTTAAAATATAAGTACAATGTAAAAACATATACAGTGGGGCAAAAAAGTATTTAGTCAGCCACCAATGCTTTAAGTACAAAAATTATATGTGAATATTCCCTGAGAGTATGGGAGAGGTGATTGCTAACTATTTTAAATAAATAAATAAATGGACGGATGGATGGAATTGTCTTTATTAAACAAAAAAAATAATGGAAAACATGTTTTAGAGGGGAAATCAGAATAAGAAAGAGTTGTATTGCCAAGTGTGCTAGCTCACACAAGGAACTTTTCTAGATATTCATTGAGGGTGTACTCACACTAGGCAACAACCATGCCCGAGCACGTCTGATCCCCGAAGTCTGGTTCATTGACTAGTGTGATCTCTCTGTACAATGCCCAAGCGCGGTTGGCTGAACCACGCCCTGGCCTGCTTGAAGAGGTGGCCTTGGGCACAATTTGATTAGGCTCGGGTGCGGTACACATGTGTGATCGCTAATTGTGCCGGAGCACAGAACAGGCAGCTACTACTTTTGTTTGCGCTACTGTCATCATTACAACAACAAACATCTTCTATTACTCAGACAGTACACTTTTTAATTCATTGGAGTATATACTAGGCAACCATGCCTAGTGTGAGTACGCCCTAAGTGATAAGCGGTTCTCGCAAAAGCAGTTTATTTAGCATAGTGAAGCCTGGTGTCTTCCCCAGCATGCTGCAGCATTATGACATTTTTCTGCTAACCAACCTTGGGGGATTGTCCAGGCTCTGATAAAGTTGGTAGCAACTTACGGTTCATGCAGACTTTCAAACTGACAGCACATGGGTGTGTTTGACTTCGGCTGTGTCTGGATTTAACTATTCAGCAAGATTTGATATTTGTAGTCCATGGAGGATTTTTTTTTTAAAAATAGATCAACTCAAAATTAATGTTTAATGGCGAACATTTTTAAGATTAGCTGATAGACTGGCAATTCATTAAATGATAAACTAAGATTAGAAAACAAAGTTCTCCGCATTAAAAGACCCAAGACTGGCAGATCAACATGCTCATGCACTAGATTTTAGCAGGGTTGTGATAAAGAGTGGCACGGCCAACCTGAAATATGATTGCTGCCACCATTGGATCCCCCAAAATCATTTGGCTAGAGTACTGTCAATCTGACGATGCCTGTATGCCATTGTTGCATGCAAAGGTTGCATGCAAAGTTTGCATTTGGAGCGCTCAATAACACCGTTAGATCAATGGGTTCTGTCAGTGCTTAGGCAAAGTAACACTTTTTTTCTTTCTTTCTTTTTTTGCTATGCAATAAAGCTAAGTTCAAAGGCCAATTTAAAATATTGGTACAGTAAAAAGTGCACAAAATTAATACTTTTGTAAAGGCAGTATTTGTGGCAGTCGAGAACTCATGCTGCAAAATTGGTCCAAAAGGTATGTGTTTTTGCGCCAATGCATTGTTAAAGGATCAGTGTGTTGTGTAATATTCCCATATAAAACTTTAACTGTCAATTTAAAAAAAATTGGTATAGTAAAATTCTCTAATTCACAAGATCAATACAGTACATCCTTTATTAAACCACTTTGTTGAATTTAACGCATCCTTAAGGAAGTGTTGAAATGCTGAATCAATTCATTAATTTCTAATAGCGCTTAATAGGAGCAGCATCATACCAAAGTCCCTTTAAGAGGGATGTCACTCGGTGGCCATCTTTGAAATGACTTTCGGGCATGCAAGTGCAGCTCCCATCTCTTTGAATGGGGAAACATCAAACTCTCCAAAACTGTTTGCCAAGCTTATGATTAAATTTCATATTTGAAATCTGACAACAACTGTCTCATAAGTGTTGTTTCTTTTGCTAAAATAGCGTTAAAAAAAGCATATTTTTCAGGCTAGACCAGGCAGTGCATATGCGCAGTCCTAAGTGCACGTCTCTGAACGCTGACTGTTTTATTGGCAGGGCTTCGTTCAATAGAGCCCCCCCCCCCCCCTCAGAGAAGGCTGAAGACCTCCACGGCAGTGCAGAAGACCACCACAGCAGAGCAAGCATGACTGAAAATCCCCATGGTGGAGCAGATGACCACCACAGCAAAGCAGATGGGAGATAGGGCTACCATGGTGGATCAGTTGGAGCTGGAGACCCCCACATTGGTGCAGGTGGGGCTGAAGACCACCACGGTGGCGCTGCAGACCACCACGGCAGCGCAGGCAGAGCTCCTGACCACCACGACTGAGCAGATCCACGGGTCGGAGAAGGCTCTGGAGCAGACTCGTGAACTGGAGTCGATTCTTGAATGGACTCTGAAGGCTCCCGGACTGGAGCAGGTTCTTGAGTGGACTCTGAAGGCTCCCGGACTAGAGCAGATTCTTGAGTGAACTCCAAGAGCTCCTGGACTGGAGCAGGCTCTGGAATGGGCTCTGGAGGCTCCTGGACGGAGCAGGTTCTTGAGTGGACTCCAAAGAGCTCCTGGACTGGAGCAGGCTCTGGAATGGACTCTGGAGGCTCCTGGACTGGAGCAGGTTCTTGAGTGGACTCCGAGAGCTCCTGGACTGGAGCAGGCTGTGGAGTAGACTCTGAAGGCTCCTGGGAAGCCAGAGCAAACGCCGAAGCGGCTCATGCCCGCAGAACAGCCCTGAGGTGAAAGGCGAAAACAGCCTTCTTGGCGATGGCCGAGACAAGGAGAGCGGGCTGCTCAGTGATGGCCTTCGTAGCGGCAGCAGGGAAATCGGGCAGCTCTGTAACGGCCTCCATGGCTGAGACCAGGAGAGTGGGCTGCTCAGTGACCTCAGAAACCACCGAACATAGGACCACCTGAGTCGGGTCCTCCAGGGTCACCAGACTAGGGACCACCAGACTCGGTTCCTCCAGAACCACCAGACTAGGGACCACCACAGTGATGACAGTTGCTCGCACTGACAATAGAGGTGGGTCCGCCAAACTGAAACTAGTCCAAAAACGCTTTGATCGATCCTTGTGAAGCGGTTCCAGACTGGCAGCCATCTTGTGAAGAGGCTCTGGAAAGGCAGCCATGAAGAGAAGAGACTCTGGAGTGGCGGCCATGTTATGAAGAGGCACCACATGAGAAGGTACCTCTTGCTCCAGAACTGATCGTCTCTCCCTGTGGGCTAGAAAGTCCACAAACGCCCCAAAAGCCAGGTGCTCTGTGCCGAACCTCCTCCAGGTGCTGATGGGCTCATCAAGGTCCTTGAGAGCTGCATCGTTGTAGTCCAATCCCTCAGCAGCACTCCTGAACTCCATGGTGAATTCCCTAAGGTCAGTCCCCTGTTGACGGAGGGAACTTAATGCTGCTATTTGGAGCACACGTTGGTAGAGGGGGCTGCTGGTAGTGGAGGCTGGTAGCTGGAGTGAGCCCATTCTCCGCTGAGTCCTCATGTGGCATTTTCGTGGAGTAACTAAAACAATAATGAGATAACAAGAAGGGTGCGGAAAGACAATAGACAGGAGAGCACATGGCACCAACGAACACACAACAAGCCATGTGCTCAAACAAACACACAGTGACATCTGGCGGCCAACTAGGGCACACCAGTAGAACGGTGACAATTTCAGAGCGCTGTCGCACTAGTCAGAACGGGGACTTTTATTGCACATTGCGCTGACAGCCGGAAGAGACGCTGTTCATTAGTCAGAGTCATGAGACCGGCAGACTGCAGCAGCCACGGCCTAACGATCGGACTCTCTGCATAACGAGTGCTAGAGACGTTCATTATCATTTATCAGCCTCAGCTTGACTGTATTTTGTGCCGTGTGCATCCTATATGAGTGAGTAACGTTCACTTTATACTTTTGTTCAGTTTATAGTTGTTTAGTTAGTTGTGACACAGTTATCAAACGAGCTACGCTGCATGATAATGGTAATGCTCATGTACTACATCTGGATTTCGCCTAGGGCATCAAAATGGCTAGAAACGGCCCTGAACATGCTACTTCAATATCAACTGCATGCAGTCTCTGGAGCCAACAGTTAAAGACAATACATGTTCAGTAAGTGTGACCGAGATGCTTGAATTTATGGGTAAGCAAGATGAAGATTTGAAGAACAAGGTGAGCTTGCTGCAAGACAGGATGAAGTCATGCGATAAAAGAAAATTGCCTGATATGTGACAATTCTGATAAACTGGATGCTTATAAAAGGAGATGGAATTACGAGTGGCTAAAGTTCCGGAATAGCAAGGAGAAGATGTCCGAAACATTCTCATCGATGTGTTTAGTAAAGTCTTACCTGAAATTGGTGACCAGCTCAACTACTTGGCAGACATGGTAGACTGGGCCCACTTTCCAGAGACACTTGCTTATACTATCGCATCATTATGCAGTTTATTTCACTTAGTGTCTGGGGTAGAATCTCATGCAAGAACTTCAAAAAAAAAAAGGAAAGGGAAATTCAGGAAAAGGAAAACCAGAAATCTCAAATACTTGATGCAAAGTATCAAGGACGCCAGAAATAAACTGTGGCCACACACT